AAAATAAAAATAACGTTTTTAAAATAAAAACACAAAAAAAAAAAAAAAAAAGAAATTACGAGCGCCAATAATTGTATTTGTCTTTAAATTACAGAGTGTAGGATTTGCTAAGGACTAAACTGTGTAATGTGTATGGGTAAGGGGGGTTGGGGGTGGATGGGGGGAGAGGGGGTTCAGTCGAAATTATACCATTGCGTGAGCTACATCACGTGAAATATTACATTCTGAATCACGACATTCAATAACGCGGTTTAATCAAGCGAAATAGTTTTCAATTTTTTTTTTTATTATTTTTTTTAAATTACGTTTATACAATATTTTGTGAGTGTGGTTTGGGGAGGTGGGGGGGGGGACATTATACTGTCGCCTTTAAAGTTCTAGTTTCTGAGATATACATCGGGGTAGTTTTAACAACAGAAATTACTTATTTCAATCTAAACAATTAGAACAACAAGTTTAGCTCCATACCGTAATCGAAGATATTATTATTTTCTTCATCTGGAAAGAATGACGAAGGGGGGGGGGGGAAGTCAATTTCGGAAGCATAATATTATAGCACCATAGAGAATCAGCCAGACAATGGCGGCCGCGATACGTGGAACTTCCCAACTGCTCAAGTTACTGGACGAAATATGCATCCAAGTAACGCACTTTATAAGTGTCCCAATAATTGGTACTAGCTTATGGGAATTTTATTTTGCGCGCCAGCTGAACACAGAGTTTCAGCCATACACACATGCCTAAAGAAATAATAATATATGTGATAACTATCAACTGTGACCAATTTTTAACTTTTGTTGTTGTTTGTTTCATTTTGTTTTTGCTGTTTCAATTTTTTAAATATTTAAACCTTCTCTCTCTATCCCTCTTTTTCATTCTATCTATACATGAGGAGGAAACAAAGAAGCGAAACTAATTTCATTTTTATTTTTTTATTTTTTTAATGTAAAATATCCGATGTTATTATTTAACTATTGCTTACAGATTCAATTAATTATACACTTATTTTTTTATCAGCCAGCTAAATACGGGGAGGATTAACGAGCCATATCACGACCTTGATTTTTATCTCCATCAACAAGACCAGCAACGATGGGCATGGTGTGGCATCTACAGTTTCATTGATTCATGATGGGCTGTTCACCCCCCACACCTCAAATCTTGCTTGAAACCTGATGAACGCTCCTGGAGGACATGTGTTCTCAGCAGGGGATCCCAATCTTTTGAAAAATGGGTACTGCTTAAATAAACATCTATACAATCCAAGTATCACCGTGTCTCGAAATAGTAATACGTCATAACATCCCAGAGTTAGCGCCTGGAAACATCTAATGTAAATCTAGAGGTGCATGTACCACTGATTGAGCATCGCTGGTCTAGAAAATGGAGTTTTTTTTTGTGTGTTTTTTTTAAAATGTATATTAAAAAGTATAACGGAGATGACAAGACAAAGTAAAACAGGTTGCCATGGATTGTCAAGACTGAGCATCGTTATGGTCTCGTGCATGGTTTGGGTTTCGTTCCAAACGAACCCGGCGCGCAGTCTTAGTGGCGGCATCACAAGCCAAACATCAAGGGTGACAGTCATTGTTTGGGCTTAGTGGCGGCATCACAAGCCAAACATCAAGGGTGACAGTCATTGTTTGGGCTTAGTGGCGGCGTCACAAGCCAAACATCAAGGGTGACAGTCATTGTTTGGGCTTAGTGGCGGCATCACAAGCCAAACATCAAGGGTGACAGTCATTGTTTGGGCTTAGTGGTGGCGTCACAAGCCAAACATCAAGGGTGAGAGTCATTGTTTGGGCTTAGTGGCGGCATCACAAGCCAAACATCAAGGGTGACAGTCATTGTTTGGGCTTAGTGGCGGCATCACAAGCCAAACATCAAGGGTGACAGTCATTGTTTGGGCTTAGTGGCGGCGTCACAAGCCAAACATCAAGGGTGA